TTGGACAAACGTTTCAGACACTTCACCAAAGGATCAATGCCCACAAAACAGATATCAGACAGGATCACAAAGAAAAAACAGTTTCTTGCCATTTCAACCAGAAAGGACATTGTCTCAACGACTTGATTACCTGTATCCTGCTTCAAAGGCCTTTTAAGACTACACTTGAAAGAGAATCCTCTGAACTGTCATTCATGCTTCAATTCGACACTTTACACTCAAGTTTGAATAAAGACGCTAATTATCTTACCTATTACAAAGATAGCAGCTTCCCCAATTATCACTTCTAATATCATTAGCTCACAGACATTTTCCTCCCCCCCTCATCCCCCTTCTGTTCTGGAATTTGATTTGTCCTTTTCATATGTGTTCATTTTTTTAATTGTATCCTTTGGTATATATGGTTGTGACAATTTTCTTCCACTATTTGATCTGAGGAAGTTGGTCTGGCCCACGAAAGCTCATCACCTGTTAAACCATCTTGTTAGTCTTTAAAGTGCTACATAGTCCTGTTTTTTGTTTCAGCTACACCAGACTAACACGGCTACATTTCTATCACTATTCTACATCTAAGAATATTTTGACAGGATTATTGCCTATGATTTTATATTACAAGTTTGAATGGTCAGTATTTACCTTTTTCTTCTTTTCTAAATAAAGATAGGATTAGAAACGCAAGATTTGCTATTTCCAAAATTATATCTTGTGATTTGTTAGGAATAATCAAAGTAAATAACAGTTCATATGGTTCCTATATTTTATTTCTTTGCTGTCTGAATAAGATGAGTATTTTTTAAATGCTGTTTTTGTCCTGGGAAATGGCATAATGAAATTTTGGACTACTTTTTGTATTATTCAGGATGGGAAAATATTCTTGAAAATGTAAGTGTGAAGAAGAATGAAGCTGACAGCCAAAGTCATGAGAGAGAAAATACATTTCAACAATTGCTTTTTCCTCATGAAGACAGAGGGGAATACATCTTCCAGAAAGTGATAACTGCAGTTCAGAACTGGTTCACTCTCTTCGGTTGGTCTAAGGGACCTAATCCTATTTCTATTCCTCACTCACTAAGACGGTAATAGTATTTTGTTTCTCAAATGTTTCCTAGGAAAATGTTGCATTGTATCAATGTTTGTTCCATCATTAGAGATATTTTTGGATGGCAAGTTATTTTGAATATGCAACTGACTAATTAAATGGAGAAATCCAAAGATATTTTCATTAGTAATGTATTAAAATTCTTTATCAATTGTAAAACAAAAAGATCCACATTTTCTTTTTTGTTTGTTTTTTTCTGTTTATAAAATGTTCCCAAACAAGAGGCTCCGAGAGCACATAGAGCTCTAAAACCATATACAATGCTTATTGTAATTGAAATTGAGTTTTATCCCAGAGTGAACCCAGTTTCTTACAGTAACAACTTTATCAAGACCAAGGCATGTAAATTAAGTGTTCTTCCTTTCCACCAGCCCAAAGGGTCAACAAATGGATTGATGGGGAAGTACATTCTAGTAAATAGAGCCTTGTCAGCAGCCCTTTGAATATGATATCTATCAGCAGTTAGGTGAATCACCTGAGTTAGTCATAGCTATTTGATAGCACTGAAAGAAAGAGGCATTCTATCATTTGATTGATTCCCAAATGTACTGGCTTTTATATACGGTGAAAATGAAAGCTTTGAATTATACTTGAAATATAATGGTGACTACCTCAGACTCTATTTATTAAATTATTTATTAAATAGTCTAACCAATTAAAAATCCTGTGCTCTCATAACATCTGTATAGAAATCAAGAAGTACTGTATTGCTCACAATCCATTCCCCAGGACTTTACATAATGGTTTATTAAGGAATTCTTCACAGTTAATGGTTCAATAGATATGTTTAGTGCAAGCCTATTTTAATATCTTTAAAATGATAACGTCAAGTTTTTTCCCACTATTTAGTGATGTGTGTAAAATCCAGATGGCTTCACCTGATGAAAAAGTTTTTAAACAAAACCTTGGCAAAGATACAAAGACTGTTTATGACATGCTACTCCATCTGAGTGGACAATTGCTACCAGGAATTACTTCGAGCCAGTCATTGCCTGCTGATCCTATTGAAAGAGTGGTCCAGCTCCACTGGCAGCATTCTACAATGCTCACTTTTCTCAAGTAAGCTTTTGTATAGGTAGATATGCTAAAGTTATTTTTTTATTATTTTCCTGTTATGTTTCCTATTGAATAAAATGCTTTTCCTGATTTTTTTCAGGTCATTAAAAGGGTAATGTTTACAGTATATTACAATGAACTTGATAGTAATATATTCTGTGAAACTTGTCATGTTATGTAATATTAAATAGCAACTCTAAAGCTGAGGAACTAATTTTGTTTTTGACATGATGGCAATACCCGTCATTTGAAAAAAAAAAACCCACCACTCTAATATCTCCTTAGAACGTTCTGTCAGGTTATTTCTCCTTAGATGCATGGCCACATTGTATCACCCAACTGAAAAATCAGTGTAACGAAGACTGAGAACTTGGAGAGAGGAACTTTATGAAGCTTCCTTCTTACATTAGAAAGAGAGAGAGAGACAGAGAGAGTGAGTGCAGATCCTAGGAATTTATGGATAACTTGACTCTTATCCAGTGTTCTCTCTAATCATTTTCATCCATGTGCAAACTTTTTCCATCCATGAGCGGAATAAAATTTTTATATGCATTGAGGCATGTGTGAACATGCACCACAAGTAGAAACAAATAACTTAGCTGTGGGCACTCTTCTAATCAGCTGGGCAACATTTGAATCTTTCCTGAGTGGCCACACAAGTGCCCAACTTACAGGGACCACTGATCTCACCTTCATAAATCTCATAGTCAGTGCTACTGCTTCATTATGCTGTGTTTGGTGTCTTAGATTAAAACATTTTTGGTTAAGAACTTGGGGTGATTTTATCAAATTTGAAATCTGGATAATCTGAGACACTATGAAGCATTTGGACACAATGAACCCAAAACATTCCATGCATATTTTGGTGTTTCCTCTTGATTGCTGACAGAGCATAACTCTGCTGCAAGGAAAACAGACTACAGTAGACTTCCGATAATCCGGCACCTTTTGGACCTAGGTGGTGCCGGATTATCAGATTTGCCGGAGAATCGGGAGGTCCGGTACAGCTGTGCGGCTTAACAGCTGGCCAGGACACAATCTCCCTCCCCCTTTCCTCCCCTTTCCTCTTCACGGTGTCTCCGTGCTGTAACCTGATCTTCCTCCCCCTCCCTTTTTCCCTTCTTTGAAGCAAAATGCTCTTCTCCATACTGTAACACGATCCCGCTTCCCCCAACCTTATGCTCCATCTGGTTACAGCCAGCATGTATGCTGAGTGGCAGGCTTTTTAATCAGCTGGTCAGGAGCGCTTGGCATTTTGATGCCTGAGTATCGGGAGTGCCGAACAATGGGATGCCGGACTATTGGAGTTTTACTGTAGTTCCTCCCTGATCCTAAACTATGACCTATCAATTTACACTTGTAAACTAAATTCAAATTATATAGCACATTAATGCACATCTATAATGCTTTTAATTTGCAATGAGAAGCAGGTTACATAAGAAGATAAATTCAGCTGGTTTTATTCACAACATTTGAAATGTTGATACTAAAGGAATTTAAAATGAAAAGGCCTGTGAAAATCTCTCTGAACAAGAAGTCAGAATGCTTTTGTACTCTGAGTAAAGTAGACTTGAAAGTTATTCATGCTTCCCAAGTAATGTTTCTTGATATTCTATTCTTTGAGCTAAAATACAGATTTTTTAAAACTAGCAATTGGGCACACCAGAGCATCATTTATGTTTTATTACTATCAGTTCTTGTGATAATTACAGCATTATTGTGGACTTGAATTCTTCTGGCTCTGACACCGATAAGGATGCTCAGTCTATGTTTTGATGCTTCAAATTAAAGAACAATTATTGGACCGAAGGCAACTTGCTCAGATTTATATGTACTTTTCAAATCAAAGTTATGCTTTTTTAGCCACATTGGCTGAAATGAAAGTTCATTTCACGTAGGAATTGCCCTATATAAGTTAATAGAGTTGGCTTATTATCCCAAGATGCACTCATATATAACTTGAAACATCTATAAAACTAGTTTATAAAGTGATCCTGGTTAGAAGTTCAATTCCAAATGTGAATGTCTTATTTGGAAGGAAGGATATGCCTTTAAACAATTCTTCCTTTTAAAATGAAAAGTGTGGGGTTTTGGTTTTTAAGAAAAGCAGTTTGGAAACCAAAATGAAAAATGCTTCACTGTGTATGAATTGTGAAATATCCTTGAAACCTAGGCTGATAATGTAAAACTGGCATTTCTGAAGTGAGGCGTGTCAATATTCTTGGGATTCATAGCCTGAAAAGAAAATGTTATTGGAAAAACAGATTTTTATCTCACTGTTATACTGAATTGTTAGTCTGGAATAGGACACATCTTGCTCCCTGTGAGTCCCTTCTTTTGCCTGTTGTTCTTCTGGAATGATAGACCCTTCTTCTGGGAGCCCACCCTCAGGAGTTAGCTCTGTCTCTGTGACTCTGCTCTCTAGCCATAGCCAGCCCCAAACTTCTGGGTTTTCCCCTACATTAGAGTCTTGCTTTTCTGCTTGTGAGGCTGAGAGATCTAATGGACCATCATGTAGCTCAGCCCTCTCTGGCCAGGAGGCAATCTGTGAGTTACACCACAGGTGTGATTATGTCTCTAATTGGTTTTTTTCTTCCTGCTGTACAATATGGATGGGGAGATTTCATTACAGGCCTTAACATGGTGGTTACATTTTTAAGACTAAAAAACCCATCTCCTACGGTCATAGCTAGTCTTCTAATGGCATACTAAGATTCTGAACTAGAGGAGTCTCTGATGTGACTCCTCAGCTAAGTTAAGAAGACTTAAGTCAATGTTCTTCTCTCATTCTCAACTGATATATCAGTCTTGTGAGGATTTGGCCTTAGCTTGTTTTGAAGAATCCAGTTTTACAATGTAAGTGCAGAGTTGCCGCAAAGCTCATTGACACAGGGGAGGGAAAAAGAGAGAAATAGTTACCCTGCAGTCAATAGTTTAAAAGATTGCATAGCCTAAAAAGATTATTGTGATCCTCTAATCTGATGTCTTGTATAACAGAGGCCATAGGATTTCCAGCCCTGCCCCTTCTGCTGAGGCTAGGGTTGCCAGATGGTCCCCCCCCAAAATACCGGACATGCGGTATTTTGGTCAAGCAAAAACCAAAACAAAACCTCAATGCGGGCTAAAATTTTTTGTTAAGCAAAAAAAACAGAGTGCAGGATAATTGTGGGGCTGCAATTGCGGCTCGGGTATAACAGAGGCCATAGGATTTCCAGCCCTGCCCCTTCTGCTGAGGCTAGGGTTGCCAGATGGTCCCCCCCCAAAATACCGGACATGCGGTATTTTGGTCAAGCAAAAACCAAAACAAAACCTCAATGCGGGCTAAAATTTTTTGTTAAGCAAAAAAAACAGAGTGCAGGATAATTGTGGGGCTGCAATTGCGGCTCGGTCCCGCCGCCCGCGTCTCCCTGGTCTCCTGGGGGGCGGGGGCGCAGCTAGTGGGCCCCCCCTTCCCCAGCAGACTAGGTTTTCTCGCGGACGCCTGAGGTAGAGCAGCTGGGGTGCTGCCGGTAGGTCCCGCAGCGCCGCTCCTCG